AAGATAGATAACCATATTACTGAATTTTGTTGGATCATTGAACAAAACTGTTTCCAGTCTCATTGTTTGAAAGTCCACTTTATATGCTTTAATTTTGTAACTTGAACAACTATTTCTAAGATGACAATATGCAATCTATTAGCTAGTGATTTCCTACTGTTTATTTTTTCTGAAATTCTCTATAACTTGTACCCTTTTCTTTTTCTCCTTAAATAAAATTTAAAAAAAAAAAAAGAAAGTTTCTTATAAAGCTGGCATCTCGATGTCTTGTGGTGTTATATTTTGTCTCTGTAGATTTGGTCTCCCTTTCCTGAGAGCCACCAGCTGGGAGCCAGGGAGAAAGTGCAGATTGTCCCTTTCTTTCTCCACATTGTGTTATGTCTCTACAACTTCTCCTAGGTTTTCATTTTTCTGTCAAATCCTTCCTAGTTCCTGGGGATCTGTTTCCCCATTTTTTTTTTTTTTTATTTCCCAAGTTATCTTCTGGTGTCTAGGTTCCAAATCTTGGAGAGGCTGAGTTGTTGCTTACTATTCCATCGTTTTCCTGGAAGTCTTCCACATATGCTATTTTTATCCTGGATTCTTTTTCCTCAGCCTTTCTGTTTGTATAGGCTTCAGCATCCCATTACCCCATCCGGTTCCCTTAAAAGTAAGTCATGTCTGCATTATGGTGTTTGCTCTTTTGTATTTTTCCTCTTTGCTACATACATCCATAAAAATACATGCCTAAATAAAACATTTGCTTTTTGACAAAAGTGGGATCATGTGACTTAGCAATATCTCATCCAGATCTCTCCAAATCATTCTTTTTAGGGTCTAATATAGTATAATAGTCCTGTTTTGGTGTTTGATTTTTGTCCCATTCCTGGCCACTATGAATAGTGTTCACATGGGCATCCTTGTGCACTTGCCCACAAGTCATGCTTTTTCTCCCTTTTCTGAATATAGACCTGTGAGTGGAGTTGGGGGATCAAAAGTGTGTGCTTTGGGATATATATGTGTGTGTGTGTGTGTGTGTGTGTGTGTGTGTGTTTGCTTTGGGACATTTTAAATTAGAAAATACAATTCTCCCTTTCAATTCAGGTGTGTCTTAGTTACGTTCCTTGTTGCTGAGACAGAATATCCGACACCCAAAGTTAAAAGGGGGAAATTATAGTTATTTCACAGTTTATAGAGGTTTCAGTCCATAATCGGCCAGTTCTAAGGTAGGGTGGCACATGGCAGAGGGGCAGTAGTTCATGGCAGCCAAAGACAGCAAAAGCAACAAGAGGAAAGGGCAAAACAAGTCTTATACTGATCCAGCAATCACTTACCCTGAATCCCAGCTCTACACTACAGAGCCAACACACACTCTAAATTCAGCAACCTCTAACAAAGCCATCCCCATGACCGCATGAGGCTTTGAGGGGACATCTAGACACAAACCATAACCAGGTTCTATTACAAAAATATGGCCTAGGTAGCTTAAACAACAAATGCTTATCTCTCACAGTCCTGGAGGTTGACAGTCTGAGGCTCAGCTGTCAGCATGGTTGGGCTCTTGGTAAAGCCCTCTCTAGGCAAAAAGCAGTTGTCTTGGATCCTCAGCTGACAGTAAAGGAGAAAAGCTTGCTCCTTTCTGTCTTTCCTTGTAAGAGTGCTAATTCTGTCCCTAAACTCTACATGAGGGCTCAACTTAGCCGCTTCCCAGTACCATCCCGTAACAAGCTCAAGACTTCGACGTACCAGTAGTCCATAACACTTCGTCAGGAATTTTTGCTTGCCTCAGCTTTGCCGTCTAGAACACAATTGATGGGATTTTTTTTTATTAGTGATATTTATTTACCAAATGTTCTGGTAGCCCTCGTTCTGTTACGTGCACTGTTTAAAGCAATTTACAAATACTTACTTGCTCCTCATAACCTTATGAGGTTAATAAAGTGTTATTCTTCCTTTTACTGATGAGGAAAATGAAAGACAGAGTTTAGTAGCTGGCCAAAGATTCCACAGCTAAAAACAGCCAGAAATTTTTTTTTTTCTTTTTTGGTACTAGAAATTGAACTCAGGCTCTTACACTTGCCAGGAAGATATAGTACCACTGAGCTGTATCCCCAGCTCCAGAGCCGGAACTTGAATCCGTGCTTTCTGACTCTGAAGTCTGCATTTCTCTCCCTCCCCACACTGTGCTGGGATTAAACTCAGGGTCTTGTATGTTAGGCAGTGCTGAACCATTGAGCTATACTTTCAGCAGCCCGCTGCCCGACCTTTGTTTTGAGATGGGTATTCTTTTCTTTTTTTTTTTTTTTTTTTTTTTTGTCTTTTTTCTTTTTATCGGTACCAGGGATCGAACTCACGACTGCCTGCTTGCAAGGCAGGCGCTTATGCCGCTGAGCTAAATCCCGAGATGGGTATTCTGTATTGCCCTGGCTGCTTTCAAATTCCTGAACTCAGTAGGTCCTTCCTCTCAGTCTTCCTCATAGCAGGGAGCATGCCACCAGGACACACAAAGTCCACATTGGCCGCTCTGCTGTTCAACCCATGAGGCCAATAGATGTTTCAAAATCATCTACTTTGGCATATACTTTCTTTTAAAGTAGCACTCATTGGGCCATCTCTCAAATATTTCCTCTTACCTTACAAATATCCTAGCCTCTGTTCAGACACCTGAAATTTCAAGGGCAGAGGCTTTTTGTGATAACTCTTTGACCGGTTTTTATACTAGGAAGTCAGGCATGGTGGCACATGCCTGTAATCCCAGCACTCAGGAGGCTGAATCAGAAGGATCAGACATTAGAAGCCAGCCGAGGCCACATAGCAGGACTGCCAGAGCGAGAGCGAGAGAGACAGATAGATACATAAAGAAAGCGAGATGTGAGAGGAGGGAGAGACAAAGGGAGACAGAATGGCTGTAAAAATCCCTCATAGAAGCAGGCAAACTGAAGCCATTTAGTAAGGGAAAGTCACCTTCATTCCTTACTGCCCCTAGGGGGCGTCACTGAGTCACAGAAACAGGCTGAGTCTTTAGTGATATGCTAGGTCATCAAGAAATACTGTAGGTATGTGAGGTTTGTGGACTCAATACAATTAACAATATATTCTACACATTTTTTAAGTTTTTTTAATCTTTAAGGAACACTTTCTATTTAACAGACACTGTTGATTAAAAGCAATGTAGCATTACTCTTATTAACCTAAAAAGGATGTAGATCCTACTCCTCTGATCCTGTTTATTTTTTTTTGGTAGTGGGGGTTGAACTCACGAACTCACGCTTGCCAGGCCAGTGCTTATACCACTGAGCTAAATCCCCAGCTTCCTCTGAGTCTCTTATGACTATACTATTTTAAAATCTGCTAAAGCTTAACTAAGACAGGAAATCTCTTCAAATATGTTTTCCTTGGAATTTAAACTTCTTAGTAATGTAACTGCTAGCTAATATTTAAATTCCCTTTAGAGATATAAAATGGCTTTGTAATTTTTAAAATAAAACCGTAGGACAGGTTTGAGCAGAACATTCTGTGTGTATGCAGCAGTACATTGCACTGATTCCGCTCCTTGGCCAAGTTGATCTCTGCTCTGTCCGTGAACATGCCCTTTGCTTACGTAACTCCGCACATTGCCCTGTGTTTCCCTGCTTGGGGCCTTAACTGTTTTAATCTGCGTGTGCTCTTGAGAGCCACACTGATTAAAAGCAGGCACTCCGGAACCAGACTGCTTGGGTATGATCTCACTGCTGCTCCTTACTAGCTTGCTGATCTTAAGCTAGTTATTTAGCTTTCTGTGCTCTGTTATTTCATCTTTTAAAAAGGGTATTTTTACAGCTACCCCGTGGTTTAAAAGGATTAAATGAATGATCCACACTTGTGACCCAGCTCTCTGGGAACTGACTCAGGAGGATCATAAATTCGAGTCCAGCCTGGGCAGTTTAGTGACTCAGCAAGACCCTGGCTCAGATAAACAAGTAAGAGAGACCTGGGGATGAAGAGTGGGTCCCTGGGTTAAATCCTCACTACCACTAAAAACACAAAAAAGAAAAAAAGTGAAATGGATTCGTGCCTATAAAATATTTAGAACAATTTTGGGCACATAAATTGTATAAACATAAACTTCTGTTACCATTTTTTTTATTGTGTATTCAAGTAGTTACTGAGTTATTTGAGGGTAATAACTTTGTATGTATTTTGTTCTTTTCAATGCCTGGTCCTAACTTTGTAGCTATCCAATGAATGTTTATTGTCTCAAATATAAATAAAACTGAGCAGTGGAAAAAGACCTGCAGGGCTATATTCCAAAATGGCATAGGGATTAGGATTATAATAATTTCTTATTCTTTTTTTAAAAATTTATCTTTGTTTTCTGGTTCTATAATGCATATGTATTACTTCCTTAATAAGTTATTACAGCTGGGCATGGCTATGCCCCCCTGCAGTCCCAGCTACTTGAGAGGCTGAGGCAGGAGGATTCCTTGAGTCTAGGGACTAGAAGCCAACCTGGGTAACATAGCCAAACCTTGTCTCAAAAAAAAAGAAAAGAAGAAAAATATACTACAAAATATTCCTTCCTTAGATGAATTCGAAAAGTGAGCAAAAATGAACATATATTCAGAAACAAGTTTATTATTGCAGATTTTCCATTGGTTCTTCTGCATGGTTTCATTTTTAACACTGTTCATTCTACTCTTCTGTATTCAGTTCTTGCTGTATTCCAGATTAATTCTTTTTCTAGTCCTCTTTTTTCCCCCAGTACTGGGGATTGAACACTTCGGTTCATTACTTCTCCAGCCCCTTTTTTACTTCACAGTTTTGAAAAAGGCTTTTGATAAGTTGCAGGGTTGCCCAGGCTGGCTTGAATTTGCAATCCTCCTGCCTTGGCTCCCAGGACGCTCAGATTACAGGCATGTACCACTGTGCTCGGCTGCTAGTCTTGTTTTTAATAGTTGATGTTCGAATTTTTAAAATACATCTTTACTGGATTATAATGATGACTGTGCTTTGTGTTCATGATTCTTTTGTTTTACTTGTAGCTTATGGTGCTGCTGTCTGGAGTAATCGCGTTCATGGTGAATTTATCAATTTATTGGATCATTGGAAACACATCACCAGTCACGTATCCTTTTAACAGCACCTTACAAATGCTTGGTCTTTTATGTTTCCAAAACTGTCACGTTCAGTCCTTTCTTGAGTGTCACACTATCTCATGGCCTAAATTAAAAAGAGTGGTTAGTTTTAGTCTTTTTCAGTATCTTTCCACTCTAAAATTTTAAAACAATAAGATCTCAGGAAATGAGTTTCTTTTTTGTTTTAGCATGAATGTGTCTGAGTTTTTTTGATAGGTAAACTTTCCTCAGTAAAAATTAGCTTAGGCTATCATTTCTTAGATAGTTGGTTTAAATAATCTTTGCTGAATGAATAATGTGGTGCAGGCTTGAATTTCAGTCACTTTTCAGTCATCTAATATTTGATTTTTTTTTTTTTTTTTTGTACCAGGGATCGAACTCATGACCTCGCGCTTGCCAGGCAGGCGCTTATTCCGCTGCGCTAAATCCCCAGCCCCTTAGTCATCTAATGTTAAAGCAGAGGTGTGTTAGCTCACATAACAAAAGCTAACTTCAGACCCCTGGCGTCTGGTTTTGGAGTGTGTCTTTGTACTTATAGTGCTTGGGGATGGGTTTGCGCAGTTATTTTTTTAATAATTCACATTTTAAAACAAAGTCACCTTGGGGGTCAGCATCATTTCCCCATTTTCACCATTCTGCTTGTCATTCTGTTTCTCTGTATATTTCACTCTGCTTAGGCAGTCGTGAAGAATGGGTCCCCCAAGTCTGGGACTGTTTCATTAGAGTCTACTGATTTGTAGAAAGGAGGGCCGGGTGTGGTGGCACATGCCTGTAATCCCAGCATTTGGGAGGTTGAAGCAGGAAGATCATTGTGAGCTCGAGGCCAGACTGGGCTACAAAGTGAGTTCAAGACCAGCACAAACTACAGTGAGACACTGTCTCAAAAAGATACACACACAAAAAGAGGCGTGGGGAATACTGAGATCCAACACAGTGAATAATTAGCATACTGGCCAAATATGAATAAATAGCAATGATAAAAAAATTTAAACTACTAAGTACATTTATTTTATGCCAGATACTATTGGAAACGTTTTGTATATATTGATCCATTTAATTCTTACAGTCCCTCTGTGAAGGAAAGTCTGTTACTTTTTAACTGTATTTTTTTTTTTATCGGTACAGGGGATCAAACTCACGACCGCCTGCTTGCAAGGCAGGTGTTCATGCCGCTGAGCTAAATCCCCAGCCCCCTAGTCTGTTATTTTTTAAAAAATTTTTTTGGTACTGGAGATCAAACTCATGACCTTGCAGTGGCAGACAAGCACTGTGCCACTGAGCTAAATCTCCAACCCTATCATTTTATTTTTTAAATAGGGAAAAGAGATGAAGTAGTTCACACAGCTGATTAGCATGATGTTCAGAATGGAATGCATGTAGTGTAGTCCCAGAACTTGTGTGTGCATTGTGCTGCTAATCAAGGCATCCAAGAACGTGCCCTGTCTTTTACTTCACAAGTGTTTATTGAGCCTCCACTATCAACCATTCATTTACCACCTCCTCCTCTTCTTTCTTCTTCCTCCTCCTCCCTCTCTTCCTCTTCCTCCTTCTCCTCCTCTTCTTTTTCTGTGCTGGGAATTGAACTCATGACCTCACCTTTGCCAGGCAGGCACTGTGCCACACAGCTGTATCCCCCACCCTCATTCACATTCTGAACATCTGTATGCCAGCCACTGGAAGTGCAATAGTGAATATGTATCATGACCTTTGCCTTCACAGACTTAAATTCTGATGAAGAATATAGACTTTACAAGAAAAAACGTACATACAGTGTTTGGTATTGTAATTGCCAAGGAGAAGGAAAGCAGGTACAGATGTGGGGGAGAAGGCTGATATTTAGGGTAGGGTACTCAGAAGGCCTCATCAGAAGATGAGGACAGAAGGGACTGGATTGTTCCTGCAGTGAGGACAGGGAAGAACATTCTAGGCAGAGGAGCAGCAGTCACAGGACCAAGAGGAGCTAGGAAGCTTGCGTGCATGGAGCAGGATGAGCAAAGGGGGCCAGGTAGCAGACTGAGAGGTAACAGGGACCTGGACCGAATGAGTTTTCACATATGCACTGTACTTCAAGTGAGATGGGAAGCACACTGTGGTTTTGTTTTGTCTGTTTTTGTTTTTTAACTGGGGCAGGGCTTCCCTATGGAGTTCAGGCTGGCTTGAAACTTGCAGTCCTCCTGCCTCAGCCTCCCAAATGCTGGGATTACAGGTACATGCCAGCGTGCCTGGCTGCTTTAAACTTGCCTTTCCTTTAGTATAAATCTCTTTAACAGAGCACAAACTGCTTTAAAGAGTATAGAAGAAATGCAGAAATCTAACGCACAAGCATTAGTGCCTGTGCAAAGATAGCTTATAAGTAAAAGTAAAACTTATTTTATTGTGGTTATATAAGTGTTCTTAGGAAAATTTTCTCTATCCCGAGAAATCGCCTCCATCGATCCAGCAAGCACAGGTAGCCTGTACTTGGCCACGTGGTCCTGGGCACTGACCCTGTCCAGTTGCACTTACTTGACCTCAAAACAGAGCCAAAGCTTGAGCTTGGAGCCAGACAGGCCAAGTCCGACGCTCAGCCTGCTCACTTCCTGTGAGGTAGAGCAGGCTGGGGAGCTCTCGGGGTGTCACTGGTGGTGGATGAAGATGGAGTAAAGGGCAGTGGTTGGTTCACACTTACTCGCCTGTGTGAGGCATTGGGCTCAGTCCCCAGCACAGCAAAAAGAGGAAAAGAAAACGAATAGGCGTCAAGCACCTAGCAGACGTTACTGCTCATAAATACTGCTATTTAAAAATTATACTTAAAATAATGATAAGTGTTAACAAAGGTGAGTGTTTGCTTTTTATATGAGCAGTGATATGGGAGAACCTCAATCCAGAAGGAGTCAGCAGTCCTGTACTAGATTAGAATAGAGACGTTGGCGTTCAGTAAACCCATCTGTGCTTGGACTTCCAGCTCTGCCACTAAAACCCTCTGTGATCTGCAGCAAGTTAAGTCCCTGCGCCTCCACCCGTAGAAGGAGCAAGTGTGCAGTGGAGTGAGTGAGATGCGCTGGGAGGTGGCGGCCACAGTGTCGCCCGTGTCATGTGAAGGGGCTCACGTGCTGTGATCGGCACTCGGCGTGTCCCTCTGTCACGTCCTCTTCCTTCCTATGTCTGAAATGCCGGAGTATTCGCCTCACCAAGGACAGTCCATTAGAAATGCTGGTGTGCAACAAATCATAGACTGCAGTACAGTCTCTGTCCTTTGTTCTGACCTTCTTCCCTCACCTTGAGTTGTAACCTCTTTCTTCATTGGAGAGGTCAACAGGAACCACTGCAGCAGTCTCTTGTCACATTTCTGTTTGTTTTTTTGATACCGAGGGTTGAACTCAGTACTGAACTATATGCCCCTGTTTATAATTTTGATATAGGGTCTCACTGAATCACCAAGTGGGTTGGCTGGCCTTTGAGTTTGGAATCCTCCTGCCTCAGCCTCCCAGAGTGCTTGGACTATACGAAGGTACACCACACCTAGTTTCTCACTTTTTTTGCACGCTTTGTGTGAGTGTGTGTGTACATTCCAGAAGAGCACGGTGTCACCTTCTTGTTAATTTTACTGAAGTTTGTACAGGTTTGTACCTAATATCCAGCTTGCTGCCATTTGTATCCTTATCTGAAAACCCAGATACAACATGTTCGGACACTTCAAGTTCTGCATTACCTTATGTGGAGGATATGTTTTGTTTAAGGATCCACTGTCAGTTAATCAGGGTCTCGGCATTTTATGTACTTTATTTGGCATTCTCGCCTACACTCACTTCAAACTCAGTGAGCAAGAAGGAAGTAAGAGCAAACTTGTACAGCGTCCTTGAGTTTTTGGGAGAAAAGAAAGTTGCCCACAGACAAAAAAATGTTGTAACTTTCAAAAATGAAAAAAATTGTAGTGCAAAATGTATTTTGTAAGAAGTAACACAAATATTATTCACCAATATGACCTTTTTTTTAAAACGGTGACAAAGTTTACTTTAAAAAGTAAAAGTGAAGCGAGTGAGGGAGAAACTGGCTCTGCTCAGGCCGAGCAAAAGAGGAGAACGCGAGACGGAAGTGCCCCTGCAGGACACAGGGCGGCCAAGTGAGGGCAGCCGCGACGGCCACAGATTCCATCTTTTAGTACCTTTTTAAAAAGTTAATTCTCAAAAACGTAAGCCGGGCCTGGTGGTGCACAGCTGTGATCCCAGCATCTGGGACACTGAGGCAGGAGAGATGCAAGTTCAAGGCCAGCCTGGACACACAGCAACCATCTGTCTCCAAAAAGAAAGAAATCTCAAAAGCCAAAATGGTTTGTGCTGCTTTTCAAAGATGATTACAGGAAATATATAGGACAGACTGGTTACACCAAGTGAAATACTGAAGTCCTATAATTGTCATAAAGGATTCTGTATTACAGTACTACAGAGGTATGTTTTTTCAGTGTTATATTCCTCTTGGGAAGGTTATACAAAATCGCTTTAGTTGCTAGTAGATGATTTTTCATTGTGAAATGTGCTATAATTTTGGTCATAGTGTTTAAAGGGTAATGGGGCTCGAACACAGAGCCTCACATGTGCAAGGTAAACACTCTACAACCAAGTTATATCTGTACCCTTGAAGACATTTGCAAAAGGAATACTTTTTTGAGATATGAAGGAAATACATGATTTCTGATTAAGCAACTACTGGGTAGTGCCACATAATTATAAAATGTACTTTTGCCTTCCAACATCTTGACATTTGAATATTGAAAGCAACTGTTATTAATCTCACAATAAATTGAGATGAATCATTCCTCTGGTAATAAATAATTCTTTTTCAGAACATTATAAACTTGCTATGAGAAAGCAACTTAAGAAAACAGTCACATAGCTGGGCATGGGGGTGTACTCTTGTGATCCCAGCATTTGAGAGGCTGAGGCAGGAGCAGAGCCATGAGTTCAAGGCCAGCTGACCTACAAAGTGACACCCTGTCTCAGGGAAAAAAAAAAAATGAAAGAAAACAGTTACTTGAACAAAATATACCTTCAATAAGATGACAGGTTTTGGTATGTGTCTTTTATCTCAAGAACACACACATACATGTCTTTTAGATACTTTTTTTTCTTTTCTTTTTTTTTTTTGTCTTTTTTCTTTTTATCGGTACCAGGGATTGAACTCACAACTGCCTGCTTGCAAGGCAGGCGCTTATGCCGTTGAGCTAAATCCCCAGCCCCCGATTCTTTTTTTTTCCTGGCTCATTTAAAATAAAAAGCCTCACCAAAAGTCAACTTTGAAGAATTCAGCTTGTGAGTCAATCTGTTGTATGCCTAGTATGTGTGGTTTTCTATTATTGTTTTAAGTATTCTTTGATTGTCAGTTTACAGTATCTTTTACTGTGCTATATGAGGTAGGGTACCTCATTGCTGCTACAAAAGCCTTGAGTATTTTGTACATCTAAGGTACTTTCTCTGGTTATATATACAATAAATAAAATTATTTCCCAAAAGCTGGAGAGCAGTATTTCATCACAATGAGGACTGTTTGATTTCATCACAGTGAGCACCAAGAACCGAGTTGATTTGTGCCATGTACAAATTCTTAATTGTAAATAAAACCTGAGGGCAGAAGGTAGTGCAAATTGTGGGGAATTGTAATAAATGAGTGATGTCAGTAGGAATGCTGTAACAGAGTTGGGGCAAGTTGGCTAAGGTGTGTTCATAAACGAATAAAGTGTGCACTACTAAAATCTAGAGTGCGGTGTTTTTTCTCTGGAAGATAGTCATCACATCGAAAAGGAAATTTCCCATGAAAAAGCGCAGCTCAGGACCGGGACCAAGCACAGAGGCAAAGCAGACATCATCAGGCTTTGGAAGAAAACATGTTGTCCTGTTGTTACGGTATAAGTGGACTTGTTTTTTATCTGATGTTAAAGGACTTAAGTTTTATCTGTTAAAAATAAAAATGCCTGTTTTTTACATTTGTCTTACATATTCGAGCCAGTAGAAGAAAGATAGCATCTGTGTGTGCAGCGTGCGTGGCAGTGTGACTGTTCTGCTCCCAGATCCACAGGCTGCAATGAAGCAACCGCTCATGTTCAATTTTTCAAGTATTTTTTTAAAAAGCTGGACTACTGTTAAATCCTTACTGTCTTAAAATTTACTTCAAAGCAGCAGCATTAGGTATTCCACATTCACTGCATCAGTAGGGGCTGATGGATGAGTGAATATGCAGGAAATTATTCTTTTCCTTTTTTAATGGGATTTTTTGACCCTTACAGTATTTTTCCAGGCCGGGGATGTAGCTCAGTGACACAGTACCTGCCTGGCAAGCATGAGGGCATGAGTTTGATCACTGATACTAAAATAAAATTTAAAAATCTTCCTTCTTCATGTAAATTTCTTTACTTGGATTCTATTTTTAGAAAGTATACATAAAACACTAATTGTGATTTAGTTCCATATTTGTTAGAAAACATTCCTTTAGATTTTTCAGAGTTATTTATGAAGTTATTAGGAGGTAAGTAGTTTCAAGTGCTGTGAATTTGGGGGATATTTTTACTGTTTTTAGTAGGGAAAATAGTGTATCACCTAAATCATAAGAATTTAGATTTTTCTATTTAAAAGTATCTCATAAGTACTATACTATGTATACCGTAAGAACAAGTATGCCTATTTAACCAGCTATGACTGGATCTCTAAGTGTTTAACTTCTGAGTCACTCATAAAAGATTGCTTTTCCTTTAAGATTGAATGATCTGGGGCTGGGAATTTAGCTCAGCGGCATAATCACCTGCCTTGCAAGTGGGAGCTCGCGAGTTCGATCCCTGGTACCCATAAGTAAAATTTAAAAAAGATTGAATGATCTATATCAACCATATGTCCTTTCTGTTTTCATTTTTTATTTTATTTTATGTATTTATTTTTTTTTTTTTGAGGCAGGGTCCTGCTATGTAGTTCAAGCTGGGTTTAAACTTACCACGGAGCCCAGGCTGGCCTCAAACGGGCAGTGATCCTGCCTCAGCCATCTGAGGACTACAGGTGTGCCTCACCACTCCCAGCCCAACTCTGCTGTCTTCATTTAGTTTCCTGTTTTCTCAGATAGAGCCTCGGGTTTCCTGCAGGAGAAGAATAGGTGAGCCTTAACCAGGAACTGGGAGCTGTGAGGATCAAAATAGTCTTGAGATAACGGATATCTAACATTGGGATTTCCTGTAGAAATGAGCATGCTCTCCAGACAGCAAGACCACTCCTTCTGGACTAGCATATTGTGGAGGGACTTGACCATATGTTTAGAATCAAAACGTTTTATTCAGTGTAATTAAAAAATACAAAGAAAAATGCCATATTGCAGTTGGTTTCTCAATAAAATCTACATTCCTGTCCTGTGCTCATGTCTAGAGGGTGGAAATGTTAAATTCTTTATCTTGTTGCCTCATAGGAGTAGTCACAAAACATCTTCCCAGTAATACATGGGAATCTGAAGCTGTCTGGAGAAGATGCCTTCCTGATAAAAGGGACAGATGTGGCTGCTACTTCCTATTCCTGGTTTTTGTGCAGCACATGTGTGAAATAGTGCTAATCAATTTATCCATAAATGATAAGTGAAAAGAACCTGATCAGAAGTATGCTGCATGTTAAAACAGTGTCATCAGACAGCAGGTTCCAGGCCTCCTGATCTGGAGAACACCCCCAGACACATACACACCCTGGATTGGTCAGTGTACTTTTAGTTGTTAACATGCCAGTGATCTGGAGGTAAAAAGGAGCAGGCATGGCTGAGCTGCTGTGTTAGACTTTGGAATCCACGGAGCAACAATTAGATGTGGCTGGTTAAAAAAGCAAAAGACAAAAAAAAAAAAACCAAACAAGAATCGGAGCTGTACCTAGCCTGACCTGTCTGTAGTGCACCAAACCCAGGGGTGAAGGTTTTGAAAGGAGAGGGTGATCTGGTGATAGATGTACTCATAAGTGGAACGTAGATCTGGAACCATTGCTGGCCTTTGGTGAATAAACCACCTCCAACCAGGAACAAACTTCAGTCTAGGGGGAGATGGCATACCTTTTCTCCACCATTTTGTTGTACTCCCTGATGGTGACCCTCAGTTATCCAATACTTTCCTGTCCTAGCCATTGGCTTGTACATACTCGGCTGCCACCCTACTCCTAGTGGTTCCTTAGTTTTGTGTGAGGCTGAGTCAGTAGGCAAGAAAGCACTATCAGCAGTGATAGACAGGTCATGCGTGTCTCAGAACTGGGACTATGTGGGGGTTCTCCAGGTACTTGGTAAGAGAATCTAAGGCAGGGATGAAAAACCCTTTAGAACTTTCAATGAAACAAACACCCAGTTGTGGCACTGGCCTAGGAGAAACTTAATAATGCTCCAGGACTTCCGTAAAAGTGTAGGAGGGTGGAGTTGTACCAGCTGGCCTGCTAGTGCCCATCGTACGGATCCAGCTTGACATGATGGCGGTCATCTTGGGCTGTGGTTGCTGTGATTGCCTCTGAATAACTCTCGTCTTTTTTCCCTTGAACTGTTTTCCAGCATCCCACATATAAGTCATTAGAGTGGTATGGACTTTATGACTGGTGTATGGCGCCAGGAATGTGCCTGAGGTCTTTCATGTTAGCTTGAGGAAAACCAGATACGTTTCAGCTTGACTGAGAATCACTTTTGTCTTGACCACTTAACTATAGAAGGCCCACCCTCTGACCTGGATTGCAGGGGTCCCCTGGTCTCACTGCCACCCTTGACCATGCTGCTGTTGATCCCCAGTAAATTTTCTCTGTTTGCCTCTTTCTTTGATCTATTGGCATGAAGTTCCAGGATACTCAGGCACCATACAACTATGGACATGGGTAAGAAACTCTGCCTTGAGAGAAAATGCCTCCTGTGTTCATGGGGAACTTTTCAACAAAACACAGGACCATTCTGAAATCATAATGACCCTCACAGCACATCTGGTGTCTATACTCAGAAAGCATTCTTCACAAGGAAGCTTGTGAATCTCTCACACCCCTCCCTCCCAAAATAGTGTTCTGGCTGGGCATGGTGGTGCACACCCATAATTCCAGGACACTGGGAAACTGAGGCAGGAGGATCACAAGTGCAAGCCCAGCCTGAGCAACTTAGTGGGGCCCTGTCTCTGGAAAACAAACAAACAAAAATAAATAAAAAGAAAATCTCAATGTTCTGAAACTCAAGGGATTTAAACAACTTCTGTTCACTCCTCCTCCAACCCCATACCGTTAGCTTCAGAGAAACTATGACAAGGCCTGGTATGGGGTTCTTGAATGTCCTATGCTCCTTTCCAGTCCAACTCAACGTTGGCTTCCTTCCCAGTGTGAAGATGTACAAGCAGAGTGGAGCTCTGAATTTCCTTACCCTAAGATGTCATTGGAGAAGTAATAATATTTACCCGGAACCTGCTAGAAATAACATTCTTTCAAAGAATGACTATCACATGATAGTAAGAACTAATGCTGAATCGCACGATTAATAAAATTTCTACAGATCAGAGCCAAAGTATTGTCTGTGTCAGTCTACAAATGGTTTGTTAACTGTAAGTACAGAAACTGAGAGGAAAAAACACATATGTGGCTTTAGGAATAGCATTTACAAGAATTTAGGTTTTCTAGATTGCAGCCGGAGTGTAAAGAAAGTTTTATAGCATTTGACCATTACTTACAACTAGCATGTGATTTTATATTTTACAAAATATTTTATATTCTGCAAAAGGATTGAACGTTGAGACCCCAGTCATCTTCTACACATAGTGGGAAGACCGCCCACCCATGGGGCCAGAGTTTGACCACAAAATGAGTTGGTAAGGAACTGGCTTGATTGCTTGACTTAAAGCAGATCTCATGTTAGCGGCTTTGAATTTCCAGACCTCCCCACCCTCCTAGAGCCTTGGAGCTGAGTAGAAGAACAAGAAGAGTCCCTGGGACTGCATTGCTGAACAGTTCCACCAGAAAGTGTGCTACAGAAGACAAACTCAGCATCTCTCAAAGGGAACTGATCCACCCTCTGCCCTGAATTCACTTTTCTCCCACAGCATTTTAACCATGTGCCCAGATAAAACATATGGGGGTCGTTCAACTTCCCTTTATCTCACCTTCTTGCGCAATCTGGCAGGAAATTTGGTTGGGTTTGTTAATGGTTTAGATCTAAAATGCCCCCAAAATTCACATGCACACAGAGGTGGGGCTTTTGGGAAAATGGTTGGCTCATGGAGGCGCTCTCCTGCTCTCCTCTCCAGTGGATTAATGCACTGTTGTGTTCATTGCTGACCTGCTATTCAGAGGCAGGGTCTGGTTGGAAGCAGCAGCCCTTGGCTGCCTGCCCTGGGAAGGTACAGCTCCCTCCCTGGCTCCTCCCTTCTCTTTCAGCTTCTGACCACCGTGATGTGAGCAGCTTTCCTTAGCCCAGGCTCTGTCACCGGGCTGGTTCTGCCTTGGAGCCAGCCAAATGTGGACTGAACTGGGAACTGAAGTAAACTTCTTGTAAGTTGTAGGTGTTGATGTTGTGTCCCAGCAGTGAGGAAGTGAGACACTGTACCTTTTTTAACTTTATTTTTGGTACTGGTGATGGAACTCACAACCAAAGACACTGTACCTTTCAGACTTCCAAGATCTGTCTTGTCATCCTGTGGGCTTCTGAAAACCCCCACTTCTCCCTGGCTCCCCTTGTTCTTAGCTTGCTGGTCCTCAGCAGGCAGGGCAGGGCTGTGATATAACCCCTGAAACT